GAAGAACATTTCATGCTTAAGGGTTGAAAGACCTATTATTTTCAAAATAATAATACTAATTAAATCAGTATATAAATATGCAGGTGACACAACATTGTTAGCAGAAACTAAGGAGGACCTGAAGGCTTTTCTGCAGAAGGTCAAGGACTGTAGTCTTTTAAGTGGATCGAAGCTCAACATCAAGAAAACAAAGATTCTCACCACTAGGCCTATTGGCACTATCATGGTAAATTGAGATTGTTAACAATTTCTGCTTGCTCAACTCCAGAATCAACATGCTTGGCACCAGCAGTCAGAAAATCAAAAGACAAATTGCTTTAGGAAAATCTGCTGTCAGGAACATTTTAGAGACTAAGGTGCGCCTTATCCAGGCCATAGTCTTCACAGTTATTTGCTGTGCATCAGAGAGTTTGGTATGCATTCAGACAGAAGAATTGTTGCTTTTGAGTTGTGGCTTGAGAAGAATATTGAACATATCATGAACTGTCAGGAGAACAAACAGATCTGTCCTAGAAAGGATGACACTAAGTTGCCTCCCGAAGGCAAGGATTTTGAAGCTCCATCTGACATACTTTGGGCATACTACTAAGAGGGCCAGTACTTGGAAATGGATATCATGCTTGGAAGGGTGTAGGACACTGCAGGAGAGGAAGACCCTGGATGAAATGTAACACGGTAACTGGGTTAATGGAAATAGGCTTGTCAGAGACAGTGAGATAGGCTCAGGATAGTGCTGGGTTCAGAGCTATTGTACATAGGATTGCTGTGAGTAGCTGTCAACTCAATGGCACATAACAAGATCAAAATTTCAGCAGTCTTCTTTGCCAAGCTATAATAGTCAATCCTCAAATTCTTATGGAACTGCCAAATCTTATGGATTTTGAATTCCCAAAATAGATGTTAAAAAGAATCTTAGAAGTAGGAGACTAATACTTCTTTATCTCATACCATATTATGAATATGATATCATACCATATTATAAAGCTATAGTAATCAAAAGTGGTGCTAGTTTAATGATAGACACACATCAACAAAATAGAATTGAGAGTACATAGTTAAACTTGTATATCTTAAGTACATTTATTTTTTACAGGGCTGCTAAGTCTATCAAATAGATAAATAATAGTAATTTATTATTTACTCTAGTAAGTAAATGATGCTCAGAAAACTGGGTTCCTTTCTTCAAAACTTTCAAGGTATACTGAAACATAACATTGCCTATGAAAGTGAAAATGGATAAAAATGTAGACATATGACTTAAACTCTTAGGAAAAAAAACCATAGGGAGTAATGTTTTTGGAACGAGTATTCAACAATGGATTTTTTAAAACTGACCTCAAAAAAAAGACAGAATAAACAGATGAGATCATCAAAATGAAAAACTTCTGTATGTTGTTGCCATTTTATTGTTGTTGTGTGCCCTTGAGTTGGAACCAACTCATATCTGATCCTCCAGCAGGTTTTGAGAGACACAAAATTATATGGGAGGAGACTGTCCATTTTTCTGTAGAGTAGCGGCTGTTGCATTTGAACCACATGCTTTTGGCTTAGCAGCACAGCTTCTTATCCACTAGACTACTAGAACTTCATTCTGTATGTTTTTGTTGTTGTTAGGTGGTGTGGAGTCAGAACTGATTAATAGCTGATCCTATAGTGGATTTCAGAGGCAGTAAATCACATGGGAGGAGAATGCCTACCCATGTCCTGCTGAACAGCTGGTAGATTAGAATTTAGTGCACCTTTGGGATTGCAGTGCAGTTTGTTACTACCAGACTGCCAGATTTCCCTAAAAGAACATTATTAACAAAATGAAGAGACAACCTACAGAGGAGGAAAATAAAATTTAAGAACCATGTACTGGGTAAGGGTTTAACAGCCAGAATATAAAAAGAACTTCCATAGCTTAGTAAGAAAATAATAATTAAATTTAAAATGTGCACAGGGATGACATGATAGTGTACTAGAAAGTCCCAAAGACTCAACAACAGCAAGAACAAAAGCCTGTTAAAGTTAGTAGGCCAATTTAGTAGAGTGGCAGGATAAAAGATCACTATTTAAAAATCAATAGGATTCCTCTACAGTAACAAAGAGAACTCAGAGGAGAAAATCAATAAAGCAATACCATTTACAACAGCTAACCATAAATTGAGATCCTTGGGAGTGAAACTGACTAGAGATACAAAATCCCTATACAAAGAAAACTACAGAACATTTCTTCAAGACACAATAAAATACCTAAAGAAATGGAAAAAAAATGTGTTCTGTTCATGGATAAAAAGACGCAATATCGTGAAAATGACAATCCTACCAAAAGCAATCTACATGTTCAATGCAATGCCAAGCCAGATATCAAATTCATTTTCAAGGAGATCAAAAGGGAAATGATCAAATTTATTTGAAGAGGCAAGAGACCCCAAATAAGCAAAATGCTTCTCAGAAACAAAAATGAAGTGGGAGGCATAGCACTCCCTAACCTCAAAACCTACTACACAAGGAAAAATGAACATAGAAATTCCATATAACCCAAGTATTCCACTGCTTGGAATAAATCCTGAGAAAATGAGAACCGAGGCACAAGCAGGCACCTGTACACCAATGTCCATAAAAGCATTATTCACCGTTGCCAGAACATGGAAACAGCCCAAATGTCCAAACACAATCAAATGGACTGAGAAATTCTGGTACATTCATACAATGGAATATTACTCAGCATACAGGAGCAATCATTTTGTAAATTATTGCCTAAATTGGGAGGGACTGGAGAGCATTATGCTGAGTGAACTCAGTCCCACAATGATAAATATTGTATAAAACCATTATTGTGGAATGAGTAGGAAGATCCAAAGGGCAGAGGAGTGGAAGCAGAGGGGATGAGGATGTACGGGGGTGGGGGAATTAATCATGGGGTTGTACAATTTGATAGGGGTTGAAGAGAATTGGAATAATCTAGTCTGAAAAACAATGTGTTCAAATTTTGTAAATAAACTAGTATAAATTTTAAAAAAAAGAAAATGTGCAAAGATCCTTAGCAGACAGTTCACCAAAGAAGATGTTCAAAGGGGGTGGGGGGTATGTGAAAACAGATTTACTATCATTGTTGTTGTTTTGTGCCATCAAGTCGCCTGCAACACATATCGACCCTATGCACATTAGCTCTGAATCCTTCCCTATCCTCAGCCAATCTCATCATCTTCTACAAACCTAATCCCATTTCTCCAATTACTCTTTCACTCCATTTCATCCTGGGTCTTCCTCTCCTGTGCTGTCCCTCCACAATTCCCAGCATTTTGTCCTTCTCCAAGGACTGGTCCCTCCTGGTTTCATGCTAAAAGTATGCAACAGAGCTTCAACAACGACAAACCAAACATTCCAGCCTACTCTAACTCAGAGGAACCCTAAAGGATAGAATTGATCTACACTATGGGGTTTCTAAGCCTATAAATTAAAGCTGGTTGCCATATCTTCCCTCCCCACCCCCACCCCCATGGAACTACTGATGATTTAGAATCAATGATCTTGTGGTTAGCAGTCAAATGCTTTAAGAACTGCACTAAAACTCTTTCATTAGCTATTAAACCAAAAGCAACCTACTGCCATTGAGTTGATTTTGATTCATAACAACCTTATAGGGAAGAGAAGAACTTCCTATAGGGCTTCCAAGTCTGTATGGATTTATGAAAAGAGACTGCCACATCCTTTCCTATAGACTGGTGGTCTCAAACTGTTAACTTTACAGATTAATATCCTAATGCTTTAGTCATTGCTCTATCAGGGCTTCTCTAGTCATTCCAGAATCATCGCCCCGGAGTTGATTCCAACTCATAGAGACCCACACACACCCCATTAATTTCAAGGCTGTAAATCTCTATGGGAGAAATCGTAGCTCATCTTTTTGCACAGAAGTAATTGGTGGGTTTGAACTGCTAGATATAAACAGAAACTTGGTATAGACAGATATGGCACAGTATACTATGACAGATGAAGAAAAGTTCACTTAATAATTGGTGCTTGGCTTGGTTGTTATCCATTTAGAAAAAAATTTAATTGGACCTTGATCTCACTTTATGTAAAAAAAATTTATACTGAATAAAATTTGTGTAGGCAGGCAAAGTTTTAAATACCTGAAAGAGAACATAGGCAAAATCCTTTTTACACTGATGTAGAAGAAAATAAATGCTTAAATGCTAATTAAGTTACCTTGTCTTTCAGAATTCACTAAGAGTTTGTGGGACTGTTTTTCAGATATATTTTTCCAGTCTTCACCTTGGCGTCTGGCTTTCATTTTATTGCTATTGGTTTATAGTATCCTGTGTGCTGGTGTCATTGGAAATAGGATTTTCAACTTTAAATTTCAGAGTAAGTAACAGAGAGAAGCCTGGACTAATGGCTTGTTCATGGTTTCAGTGGTGCCAGAAGGGAAATCATTCACCTTCATGCTAGGCTGAATGGTTTCTTCATGTAAGGCCAGCCATCACCTGCCTTTCCTACTTAAAATAGATGCCCAAATTAGAAGAATAAGTTTTTCTATGTGTTGAGCTCATGTAAGTACTTTAAGAACAACTCAGAGAACTTGAAAAGAAAGATTAAAAAGTTTCATTGTTGGAGGAAAAAAAGAAAGTAAAAGACTGACAAAATAATATTTAATTTTATCCTTCTTGGAGTTAATATTAACCCACTGAAAATCTACACCATAAGTTTCTTCAAAGAGCTGACCATAAAAATTTCATATGATCCAGCTATTCAACAGCTTGGAAAATACACCAAGAAAATGAGAACTGAGGCACAAACAGAGACTTGTACCCCAATGTTCATAGCAGCATTATTCATCATCACAAGGACATGGAAACAGTGCAAATTGAATAGATTGCCACAATTGAATAGATTGAGAAATTATGGTATTCACACAATGGGATACTATGCAGCATACAGGGACAATGAATTTATAAATTACTACCTAACTTGGGAGGGACTGGAAAGCATTATGCTAAGTGAACAAACTCAGTCCCATATGAACAAATACTGTATAAACCATTATTGTAGAACGTGTATAAGGATCCAAGAGGGGAGAGGGGGAGCAGAAGGGTAAGGAAAGGGAGTGGGTGGGAAAGGTTAATCATAGAGTCACAAAATTTGATGGGTGGAAGAAGGTATGAGTAAAGGAAAGGGGAAAGATCTGGTATGAAAAATAATGTATACAAGCTTTGAAAGTAAACTGGTATAAAATAAAAATTTTATTTAAATTTTAAAAAGCTTCAAAAAATCTATGCCCCATAGATATCATTCCCACATCTTCCTCCCTGATAATCTTTATTACTATGTGCTCCTAGAAATTACCACATAGTTCCCTTCAAGGGAGCCATTCCTGATATCTTCTTTATATTCCTAATAAAGACTGAGACTCAGTGATGGGGCAAAGAGTGTAGAGTTATCTAGGAGCCCCGAAGTCCTTCTGATCTCTCATTTTACACGAGCAAGTGTTCCAGGTCTTTGCACCATATTGCATTCCTGTGTTGACAGCTGAATATTATCTTTCTGTTTCAGGGACATTCCTGGAAGAATTGCGTAAGTGATACCATGTTTGGAGACTTCTCCACACAGTTCTTTCATGTTTTTCTCAGTTTCATGGTTTGAGGAGTAAATTTTCTTAGATTCAGACCATACTGAATCACAGTCAGGAAAAGGAGAACAGCTGGTTCACTTTCCCCCTCTATTAACTAAAGAATTAGAATTCGGAATTAGCATCTTGGCCTAGATACCCTTCAAAATTATTTTAAAATTGTACATATGATTTCTTTTGTGAGAAGAAGAATTGTAGATTTTATGAACTAAGAGTAGATCTCAGAATGTATGGTTTCAGGAGCTCTGGTGGAGTAGTGGCAAGAAGCTGTGCTGCAATCCCAAAGGCTTGTGGTTCAAATCCACCAGATGCTCTGCTGGAAAAGAAGGGGCAATCTCCTCCTGTGCCAGTAGGATCTAGTTCGATGGTACACAAGAAGAAAAGGCGGGGGGGGGGGGGAAGAATGTGTGACCTCAGAGGGGTTAAGAACCTCAACATCACCAAACCCTTAAGAGCCTTTATCCAGGTCCTGAATCAACTACTCAATATTCTGAATTTTTGTCTCATGAGTACCCTAAGAAAATCTGGACCATGTTGTAGGGGATAAAAACAACAATTACTGTGGTTGCAAAAAGGCTAAGAAAAGTAGTTGTTTATTTGGCATACCATATAAAGAAAAAAAATACACATCAAGAAGAGGGAATTGGGGTAACAAATCATACCCAAGATTTGAAATGACTACATCCTTCAGGAAATTTATTCCATTTATAATATTAAGGTTTTTCTCTCAATAATAATAATTTAAAAATTTTAAAAAGTTTTCCTTTCACATACATCTTGCTTATACATTTTCTTTGATATGAGAAATTTTTTTATATGGGTACTGAAATCAGTCTTATCAAGACACAGATATTCAGAGATACAGGAAGGAGGAGAGACAAAAGATACCACATCAAGTCTTCGTTATTAACTGCCTTTCCTCTAGTCTAGGTTTAGAGAGCTCTTGTAGCCTAGTGATAAGGAGTTCTGCTACCAAACCAAAGGTGGTGGTGGTGGTTGTTGTTTGATGCCGTCGAGTCGTAGACAACTCATAGCGACCCTATGAACGAACGGCCTGAGCACTGTCCATACATAGAGTTTCCGGAGGCAAGCCATTTCGAAAGTGGATGCCGCTCCTGCTTCCAGGCTTGATTTAGTCGGGGTAGGCAGTTTGAATTCACCAGCTCCTCAAAGGAGAAAGATGAACTGACTGTCTCCTTCCATGCTATTATTATCCTCTGAGTTTCCACTGGAGAGTCAGCTATGAATTGCTTCAGGCTCAACAGGAATAAGAGTTATTCCAGGTTTACATAGTTAGATATGAGGCTAAATTTAAGTGAAGCAGGTCTTAGGATAAGTGTTGTTTTGCTCTACAATAAGGCTGCTTCTATTTTAGATGCTAATACTAAATGTGTATAATAAAGAAACTTTTCTAGAGAGATGGATGAGTGAAACTCAGAAAAACTAGTTTGCAGGTTTTTAAAAAAAATCTGCAAGTTGACTTTTTAAAGTGGTTATCTGATTCTTTATTAGCTCAATATTCGAGAGGTAAAACTTTTTTTACTCTAACTCAATTATTACAGAGAGAACTTTTATCCTACTTCTCTCCAGACACTTGCTCTACTATTTGAACCTCTTCTATGTTTTCTTGATTTCAGAATGGAGAAGGATGCACACAGAAGCAGGTAAGAGACCTATTCTTCTCTCCCCATTTATTGACATTTCCATATAAGTTGATTATGGCTTTAATAAACTGACAACCAGGAGTCTCTATTGAGCCAGCTTGGAATGGATCTTCAATGGAGTTAAAGAAACCCTAAATTTTCTGCAGATATTGGGTTGAGAGGCCCCTTGGTATTCAATGCATCTTAAGCAGTTGAGAACACATAAAAATGAAAAACACCCTTAGGCTCTCCTCTTTCCCTACCTTCTGTTATTGATATGAGCATTAACCTACCCTCCTCTGTTTGTTTTCAGAACTGAAAGAGGCCCAGACTCATGCAGGTACCAATGATGGAGGGTTGAGGGTGAGACATAAATTGGAAGACATGGGAATGGGAGCCAAAAGTGACAGATATGGGATATATGAATATACACAAGTCCACCCATGCTGATGATTAAGAATTTATGATGTCCTGATATCCTAGCTTACCACTTTCCATCCATTTCTCAGCCAATGTATAGGAAGAAAGAGGGCATGGGATGAATCAAGCTAGCATGCAAGTTGCAGGCAGAGTTCCAGGGAATCAAGGACACTAATAAGAGAGTTGAAAGACAAGAAAGTACAGTAGGGGGATTCCAAGATGGTGGCAGTGGAGAAAAATGTGTGAGGAGCTGGAGGAGAAGCAAGCTGCATAGAAATAGTCCACTAAAGATAACTTCACAGCACACAGAGACCGACTGACGCAGCACAATGTGGACAGTGGGAATTTGAGTAAGATCTTTTATTAAACTAATTAGTTTAGGAGCTACAGGAGCATTGAGCCATGAGCCCCAGCCGAAGCTGCTGTGGGACCCAGCCACCAGGATAAAGAATGTTAGTGGAAAATTGACTGAGTTCCATTAAGCAGGGTTAATTGGGATGGAAGTGTCAGAGACAGTGTGATTGGCACAGGACAGAGCAGAATTTAGGGCTGTTGTACATAGGGTTGCCATGAGTCACAAGCGACTCGACGGCACATAACAACAACAACAAAGGAGAGAGCAGGCCTATTAGAATTCTACACAAGCACAAGGCAAGATGTCACCCCCAAAAGGTGACACATTATCAATGGCTTTTGTGAAGCCAGAAAGTCTGATAGAAATTTTTGACACAGAATTTAAGAGAACAATGATTGAATATTTTCAATGGATTAAATACAAACATGAAGAATTATAGGACACTAGAAGCAAAAACCAAAAAGAGCTTAAAAACAAAAAGAAAAACAAAAACAAAAACCCAACAACACAAACCCGTAACAACACAGATAAAACACAAGGCATTAGTGCCACTGAAAAAAAACAAGAAACCAGGATCCAAAATATAAGGTCCAATGTTTCAGATACTGTCAACATAATGGAGGGACACATGAGCAGAGTTGAAGAGATGGAACACATAACCAATGAAATAGAAGATAGAATTATCACCACTGATCTGCTAGAGCAAAAAGGAGAATCAAAAAGGAAGGAAAAAGAAGAAAAACTAAGAACAATGTGGGACACCATTAAGAGAAATAACATGCACATCATTGGAATCCCAGAACAGGAAGAAGCAAATAAAGGCACAGAAAAAATTGTGGAAGAATTACTAGAGGAAAATTTCACAGGCATAATGAAAAATGTTGTTGTTGTGTTGTGTGCTGTCGAGTTGCTTGTGACTCATAGTGACTCTATGTACAACAGCCCTAAAGTCTGCTCTGTCCTACGCCAATCGTACTGTCTCTGACACACCCATCCCAATTACTCCAGTCACTGAACCAATCCACCTCATAGAGGGCCTTCCTCTCCTGTGCTGTCCCTCCACCCGGCCAAGCATGATGTCCCTCTCCAAGGACAGGTCCCTCCTTACAACATGTCCAAAGTATGTCAGACGAAGTATAAGAATCCTTGCCTCCAAGGAGCATCATGGTTTAACCCTCTC